GCCATTTTTCCCGCCCGTGCCACGTGGTCCGCAGCCATTTTTCCCGCCCGTGCCATGTGGTCCATGGCCATTTCCCCGCCTGTGCCACGTGGTCCGCGGCTCTTTTTCCGCCCTGCCGCGTGGTCTGCGGCCGTTTTTCCGCCCTGCTGCGTGGTCCGCGGCCGTTTTTCCGCCCTGCTGCGTGGTCCGCGGCCGTTTTTCCGCCCTGCTGTGTGGTCTGTGGACGCCGGAACGGATTAACGGGAATTACACTTGAACCTTATGGGAAAATTTGCTTCGGGTTGCAACCAAATCGGGTTGCGACCAGAGTCACAGAACGGATTAAGATCGTAACCCGAGGTTCCATTGTATAAACTTATTTTTTACTATAAGGAAATATCACAGAATTATGTGAATTGATGCTGTCTAAACAGTGAGAATCTGCATTTCAGCCTTATTTCTTCTTGAAGTCAGAATACCATCATTCTAAGGAATGTATTGTACTATTAATATTATTGATCATTGATTTTTTTTTCCAAAAGAATTTGTCTTGGTAGATTCTAAAGGCCTACACTTGGCTTACAGGAAAAATAATATAGATTCTCTCAATATAGAATTAAACAAATTACAGCCTACAGAGTAGATAGCATGAGATCCTTAGATGAAAATAGCATCATATGTTTTGTTTGCTTCCTTTAGAATATTTCCAGAGACATCACCGATGCTTTAATTAATGTTAGCAGTGAAAAAAAAGCAGTTGAGAAAACTGTAACCTTATCAAATGAAAAAATAATAATTACTGTCAATGATATCTTTGGAGCTAGTAAGTATTTTTTTTCCCCCCAATACTCTAAGTGAATAAGTGAAGCTGTCTTTTGGTGCGTACCTTTTTGGATAGAGAAGATATGAAGGAATTGTAGGGGGACACCCCCCGCCGAGTTTTTGTCCCTCATTTTAAGCAAGTATAATTTCAGAGTGGTGAAGTTCAAAAGAAGAATGGCTGACCCCAGTCTGTCTCTCTAACAGTTTCTAGCCTCATCCATGTGTGTGAATCTTGTACTGAACTCATAATGAATGAACTTAATACTGTGGCTAAACTGAACATAGCCTAACTCACTTCAACATTCAGCATGAATGCCACCTCATGACAATAAGAGCGTGAGCCTGGTGAAATATAGTTATTTCTCCACTTTTACTGCATCTGCTGATAGCTGACCAGGGTGACTTGCTCCTTGTTGGGCAGGGATGAGCCTGAGGACCATCTTTTGAGCCACTGTAAAGAATACTCTAAGCATCTGGCTCAGATTTGCTCAGACTTAACTGCAGCTGGGCTGGTCCAGTCAAGGTGCCTAAAGCCCAGCCATGCTTGGTTACCTGGGAAGAATTTGACCCTGTAATTCCTGAGGAAATAGACAGGATCCTTGGTACCAGGTATCTGGCCACCTTATAAGATCCTGGTCCCTCCAAGCTTGTGAAGGCTGCTTGGGAAGTGATATGTGTTTGGGTCATTGGCCTTTTTGAGAGGTGGTGGTTCCACTGGCCTTGAAAGAGCTAGTGATATGATGCCAGCTCAAAAGGTCATTGGTGAACCTTAAAATCCTGGACAATTTTCATCCAATCTCCAACCTTTCTTTTTTAGGAAAGGTTGTTGAAAAGGGAATTGCATTGCAGCTACAGATGTTCCTGGAGGAAGTGGATTATCTGGATCCTTTTCAGTGGGGTTTCAGGTTGGGATACAAAATGGAGACAGCGTTGGTCACATTTGTTGATGTGCTACCATCCTGGTCCTCCTTGGTGTTGATGTGCTACCATCCTGGTCCTTTTCAAAACCATCAACCATGGTATTCTTCTGGATAGGTTTCAGGAAGTGGGAGTGGAGGACACAGTTTTATGGTAATTCTCCTTTCTCCATGTTTGGTTGCAGTTAGTATTGGTTGGAGGGAAGAGGTTGAGCCTGAGGCCCTTAATCTGAAGGTGCCTAGGGATTTGGCACTCTCCTGTTCAACATCTATATGAGACCACTGTGTAGGTCATCCATTGGTTTGGGGTCAATATGCCAACCAAGCAGTGCTGTCAAGGTCTACTCCAAGTGCCTGGAGGCTGTAAGGTTATGGTTAGAGAACTCTAGAGGAATGCAGAGATATTCTTGTCAGATGAATGCAAGAGTAATTAGGCACAGGTGCTGGTCATTACCTGTAAAGCCCTACATAGCATATGACCTCGTCTGAAGGACAGCCTATCCCCTGTAATGTCTTCTTGTATTCCAGTTGTGTTGGCTAGCATTAGGTCCCTTCAGTTAAGCCGTGTCATCTAGTGGCTCCCAGAAGGTAGGCCTTCTCTGTCATAGGAACAATGCTCTTTGGAACAATATCCCCTGCAAAGATCCCCATGGCTCCCACCTTGTCCACCTTTAAATGCTCTTTAAAAAATTGGCCTTTCTTGCAGGCTTTGTGTTATATTGATGGATGGGTGCTGGAAGCTGTGAGCAATGTAGACAGAGGGTTTTGTTACCTGAATGAGCACTGTTTTTATTACTGTGGCTGCGTTGTACTATATTGTTTTAATTTTGCAGTACCACCCAGAGTAATTCGGAATGGACTGGCCTACAAATTCAAGAATGAATGAATGAGACTATAAATCTGAACATATTTATTCATTTATTTGTATAATTTCCAGCCTACTTTTCACTAGCATACAGTCCCATGTTGAAATATTGACTGTTAGCTAAACTGCAAAAGTGAGCTATTAAAAATAATTGATTTCTGATTCTAGAAAAGCAGTTTCGTATAGAATGTCCTTCAAGTTTTCAATTATAATTAATGTACATTTCAGTTATAAGCTGCCTGAGTTTGAGGTACTAAGTTCTAATGTTGCTGCAATTCTAATGTTGCTTCATTTCTTTTCCAGGTTTTGGTACACTGTCATTATGCTTGCAATGGATATTTCTGTACCTGATAAACAACCCAGAAATTCAGACAAAAATTCAAGAAGAAATTGGTAATATGCTTTTGAGTGATTTAAAATAAATAAATACCAAATGAAGTAAAACCTTGATTTACTAGACTTCATTTAAATGGATTTCCACTACAATAGAGCAAGTTTCTGGACCAATTTCAGTTTGCATAATGATGCAAATAATATTTTTTTCTATTTGTGTAATGATATCATCTTGCAAATGACATAATTTGCAATGTACAACTGACATCAATCACTGCAATGACATACTCAGATTTAATGGGAATAATGGCCATCCCCTCTCTCCAATTGGTCCAGTAAATAGAGTCCATTGTAATACAAAGATTGAAGACTTCAGTTGTGAAATAGTTTGTGTTAAATAAGTTCTGTTTTATTCTTTGAAGATGGAAAGATTGGACTAAGGCCTCCAAGGTTTGAAGACCGAAAAGATTTGCATTATACAGAAGCTTTCATCAATGAAGTCTTCAGGCACACCTCTTTTATTCCATTCACCATTCCTCACTGGTGAGAAGTAACATTGGGGAGTGGGTGTGTTTACATGTAGGCAAGTTCTGCTAGTACTGTTACTTGATCTCCTACATGGTATTGGCACAAAAATCCCCTATAATGTGAGATTTCATATTGTCAAAGGGAAAGAGATGCCAGATGTAGAGTGTTTATTATTATTGAATTTCTACAGGATGCAATGACCATGACAAGGGGAGAAAGGATGCTATCATTTTTATTTCAATGAATGCTTTACAAACTGAAATATGCATAAGAAAGGTGTGGTTAATCAAAAAGGAAATTCTGAGATACTAATAGTCCAGGATCTGATGTACAGAAATTGTATTTAGTTTGTTGGAGATTAGTATTCAGTGGGAGTGCTTGTGAGAAGTTATAGTACTAGTACTATAGTACTGAATAGTGTCCTGTTCTTACTTAGCATGCTAAACAAAGTGCTGAGGGTATACTGAGATATTAAGTAGCAAAAAATTAAAAATATTCATAATATATTAGATGTAGAGTGTAAGCTTAGCCCAACTCAGAGTGAATGCTGGCAAACATTCATCGTAGTTGAAGGAAAAGGTAAATTTGGTAAGAAATTTATGAGGATAGGTAAGCTTCTCTTCTACCTAAAGTACATATTGAAGAGAGGGAAAGAGAGGGGGAGAGAGAGAGAGAGGGAAAGGGGGAGAGAGAGAGAGAGAGAGAGAGAGAGATATTCTTTTGTTTCTTAAATACTGAGACTCTTAATTCAGCACAGGCCATAGGAGACCCTTCCCTACATCTGTCTCTCACTATCTGTCCCAATGGTAAAATAGCCTCATGTGTAGAAAAAGATGATGCAGTCTCTAACACAATTTTATCAGCATCCATTGAATTCTTTTTATTCATTCTATCCAGAACCTTTCAGTAGACCTGCTCACACAACTGGACTTCCCTTGCCTTCTTCCTCCCACTCACCCTCTGTATCCCAAAGATCTTTTTCCAGAGATTCCCTCAGTATATTGGTTTGGAAGGACTACAAATGATCACAAGGAGAAGATAGAATGTATTGGGTCCCACAGAGTGCTGAAAGCAGAATCAGTTTCTCCTGTCACAAGTATACTAACCTAATAACTCTAAGATGTGGTCTGTTATTATTGCCTTTGCTCTTATCCCCAAAATCTGTTCATTTCTGTTGTCCAGAAGAAGAGAAATGAGCTTTTGCAATAAAGTAACCAGTATGTAATATTTTGCATTCTTTCCATGATTATGAACCATCATTGCCTTGAAAGACAGTGCAAGTAGTCATCAGGTTGCATAAGGCCAGACTTATGTAATGCTGGCATTATGTAAGAAAGTACAAAAATGATGGCTGCCATGTGTACACATGTGCAAAATGATGACTGCCATGTAAACAAATGCATGTTGTGAGCAATATTTTCATTTAGTATGTGCATATGTTTAAATGCAGTACAAAGAATGCAGCACAAAGTAGCTCACATAAACAATAAAACAGTATGACAATCAATTTAAAACATTATTTAATCCCTGCCCTATCATATTTAATTACTGCCACTGGAAAAAAAAATTCCCAGCTTTATGAAGGACTTGGAAAAAGAAGCATTTTTAAATCTAAGGATCTGATCAGACCCCCAAGTATAATTCAAGGGGAAGTTAGTTCCAAAAAGTAGGCCTCAGCTAGATAGAAGAAGTTCTGAAACTTAAAGTGGCTCTTCTTCCTTGAGGAAGAACTCAATGACCCTGATGGCACAAACAAGTTCTTCAAATAACTGGGCATTTCTGAACATCCAGTCTGGGAGGTCAAGACAAGCAATTTAAGCAGCTAACACTCCAGAAGCCCCAACCAGTGTAAAGATTACCACAAACGAATAACTAGGGGTGAATCACCAGAGGTCTAGAACCACACAAATTGCACCATTCTGGAACCTTTGGACAGAAAGCAGAGTCACAAAGGCCAGACAACAAACTACTGCAGTAGTCTCCATCTTCTAAACTACTGCCTGAACTTCATGGGAGGATGGTTACAACAATAGTTATGGTATGCACAAACTGATGAACTCTGTCCTACATATGTCGTCCTACATTTTTTTATCCTTCCTAGCATTTTCCTGCAGGTACAGGGTCCGCTTTTTCAGATCAACCAAAGGTTGATCCGTTGGTTGTGACAGGAATTTACCAACTGGCTTGTTGCCAGGTTATTTTCTTCAGGCATTTGAAGGCACCATGGAATAATGTTAAATGATTGTGCCAATCCAGGGCCACCATGTTGGACTAAATGCTGTTTTGTTTTTAATATTTTCTAGTACTACCAAAGACACCATTCTCAATGGGTACTATATTCCACAAAATACGTGTATATTCATTAATATGTATCAAGTTAATCATGATGAGTAAGTACTAGAAGAAGGTAATAATAGTAGTAGCAACAATGGTATTAGACTTGTTCACTGTGGTTTTTTCCCTTATACTGCTTCTGTAGTTTACAATCCTAAAACAATTATGAGGACTTAATGACCCACTTTTAGCTATTGCCTGAGCTTTATGCATGGGCAATCTGACGGTAGTAGTTGTAATATGTCTCCAGGGTAGTACATCTGGTGTACCTGTGGATGATTGTACAGATATTTGTACTGAATTCCAGGTGATGACATTAACCATATTCCCCAGTAAAGTGCAACACATACCTTTCTATTCTTCACAGCTTCACAACTTCTTCACAGAAATCAAATTTACCCCACCTTAAAGCATACTATGTGTATTTTCTCAGCTGATTCTGTAATCCATTGGAGTACAGGCACATTAATCTTTTGAAGCTGGTGCTATATTCAGCTCCTCTAAGCAATTCTTTTAAAAACATTATTTGCTTTCCTCCCATATTTCACGTACCTGCCTGTTCAACCGTTCCCCATTGCTTTTGCAAGACTTTAATCGATGTACTCTTATTTACTAAAGCATCTGTTACCCGCTGCTGATGTAACTCTTCAGTTTCCTGGGTTCATTTCTTTAGGTCAGCACACCTCCTCCTATTTTCCTTTTGTTTGTATCTCTCTTAGCCCTTCTTAGCAGTTTGCAAAGTATAAGATACACATGTTTCAAGCTTTATTGCAAACTGGAAGTCATATATGTGCAAAAGTTCAACTACTGCAGAATATAATTATCCAAAGCAAGCAAAGAAACAAGCAAGCGGCTAGCCTTTCTTGACCCACATTTTCATGGTGATGGCCTTTTTGCTGCTCTTTTCCCACACAGAAATGGAAAGACACCTGCACCTGGTTTATAGAATGGCATGGTGTGGTCTGTGGCCCTTTGCTTTCTGCCCTGTCAATTTCAGCCTTTACAAGAGTCCTGTAACCATATCACTGAAAAAGTCTCCCTTCCAAAAATACAGGGACATGTGTCCACCCACTGAATGTCGCTGTGGCTCTCCTCCTGATTTCATGAGGAATGATCTGGTGAAAGGAGCATCAAGCCCCTTAACTGCAGAGCACGATGAAAAAAGAAAGGTTCACACAGACTTTCTCTGATAAGTTTTAATGCCAAGCATTAGGATTTAGAGTAAAGAATCTTGAGAAGTGAAATAGGAACCCACCACTTACTGTCCATTATCAATAAGGCCACTAAGATAGGATATCTTCAAAGCTTTTGAATTTCTTTCTCCTGAAAAGTTTGCATGAGGGACTAAGAATCCATTTCTTTAATAAGCCAGTAACAGGATCTCCCATCTACTGATTGTTTCTGTTTAGAGATACTCTTCTTACTCAGCACAATTTCTTATAGGGAGCATTGGGGCTGGGGGAGGGGGAACAGTGCTCAGCTCAAAGTAAAATGGTTCTTTTCCCTTGTGAGGAAGAAATTGTGTGCAGGAAAACTCTGGACAGGAAAGGACATATGTATCTCAAGCTCTGCAAATAGAACCTTCTATTGAACTGCTTTTAGATGACTCTTGAAGTGGTCAAGACCAAATGTCTGCTTCATATTCACTCTCAGATGAACACACATTATGACATTATGTAAATGCCATGATTATGTACTTGACTTCTGATATCTAATGCTAGTTCATAAATCACAGCATTGGTACGATGACATTGTCTTGCACATGCCATCATTTCCTTCCTGACAGACAGCCATGAGGATGTTGTTTTTCTCTTTCTCAGATATGTTCAAATGATGTGGAAGACTGGTGGATTTAATTTTTGAAATGAAATGAAGTATGCTTGTGGCTATATGAACTCCTTTTGCTTCGCTTATGAATCATATTTTAATTTCCCTCTTTTTCTTTCTACACATTTATTTCTGTTCCAGAAACTTGTGGATAGACCCTGACTTGTTTAAACCACAGAGATTTTTGAATGAAAATGGTGAGCTCAACAAGAGCTTGGTTGAAAAGGTTTTGATCTTTGGAATGGGGCTCTGAAAATGCTTGGGAGAAGAAGTAGCCCGTAATGAGATCTTTGTTATCCTTACCACTGTCTTGCAGCAGCTGAAACTGGAGAAATTACTTGAAGATCAGCTAGATACAACACCAATATATGGGCTGTCTATGACACCAAAGCCCTATAGAATATGTGTGTCACTGCGTGCTTGACTTGAAGAAGAGTATGAGAAAGGAGCTTTGCTTTCATCATCTAATGATTGTGTGAAATAATGTAATGCAAAAGCTGCTGTTTCCAAGTTAATTTTTTTCCAAATGCATTGGATGTCAGCTCCCATATAATAACATTATTATTAGTATATTAGATTGTTAGACGGCTGAAGTCAGAGGCTTCCACAGGATCTAATGCTTTCAATACTGGCACCATCTTTGCTTCAGATGCCTCTGGTTGCAACCATGTGGAACACTTGTGTGGTTTTGGAACCAGGAGACTTGATGCTTTTGTTCATTACAGAGCATATGAAAAATGTGGAGAAATTCAGCAGCTCCCTTTCCTGCCAAGGAGAATTCAGGAGTAGCAGAAGAGGAAGTTCTTAACAGCATCCATTTAAAATATGCTACTCTTCTTTAAAAAGTGTATCCAGGCTAACAAATATCAAGGAATTGCCTGGCTAACTGCAATAAATGAACTTTTTGCTTGTTTTGTAATCTTATACCTCCCTTGCAAATCAAAACAAACGCCAATGTAATACTTGCGAGGCAGAGTATTACTTTGGTGTTAATGTGGCTTTACGAATGTGTTTAATCTTGGAAACTTCTACTGCAATGCCCTGAAAGAGCTTTATTTCTTAAACTTAGTTTTGCTAAAGAAACAAAGTTTAACATTTTACTGAAAAATAATGAATGAATCAGTTGAAAAAGGAAAATGCCTTGTATCTATGTAGTCTTAAGCAGAAATAAATATTTAATATTTCTATTCAGAATGACCTGTACAGGTGAAGATAATTATTAGGAAAAACATCAATGTTGCTGGTAAATGACGACTAGGGGGAGTTGCGAGAGATTGGGGTGGCTTCTACATTTCATAAATAAATAAATAAATATTACTTTTTAATTTGTCAGCCAGAGCAATTTTATATAATACTTATCCAATGAAATATGTTTTCAGTTTGATAGTTAACAACAGGAAATGAATCAATTTCTTACGTGGCATCAATTGATGTGCCCAGAACATTTAAATCCTCAGTATGGGATTAAATCCACAGGATGGGTTAGGGTTTGGAAGACCAGATCAACCAGTTGCATTGCATTTCTGATAGAAAACACTTGTTCTTTAACCCTTCTGTGAAATGGGTATCCATTGGAGCAGCAAACTGGAATACAGAGGAAAGTTTTAAATGTTCAGAAGCTTAGTCTCAGCTCTTCAGTTTCCTGCTCCCTTGAACATTTATACTGTAACTTCATTGAATATTAACTTTTTAGAACATTGCACTTTAACTGCTACTGGAATGATTGTTTGCACTATGTTGAAAAGCATGGGGGAAGTATGTGAACTGCCCTCTCCATTAGCTCATTCTTCAAATGCATTTCCTTCCTTTGTTGGATAGCTGGCAGTTCCACATGAAGACTTGTCCACTTTGCTGTTTGATTGCTACCATATCTGACATTATCCACGCTCAGAATTACTTCTTTTTGGTCAAATCTGTATAAGGTTCATGTTCTTAAGAAGCTTCACTGAATCATTATTAAAAATGAAACGTCTACCGTGACATTTATTTTAAAATGCTTAATGAAATAGGCAAGTCCTCATGTGACATTAGAAGGTACACAGAATTTGGAGCTTGATATGGACTATGCTTAACTGAACTTCATTTGAAACAAGTTTTCCAACCCATCTAAACAAGTTGGAAGCTTGTTTCTATACTGGCCATGTTAGAATTGGAGTGGTGTTGGGTGCTATGACTATTGAGGTTTAATTTAGTTTAATTTATTTTATTTTATTTTATTTTATTTTAATTGATTTATGTGTCTGCCTGACTCTAGGACAACTCTGGGCGGTAGTCGAAAAAATCTGAAGAGCATCAGATTGGAAAGATTTGAACAAAGCTGGTTAACTGTTGAATTGATATCTGAGTTTGACTGCTAATACTTTTTTTAAATACAGCTTTATTAAAAAAAATTTAAAAAGATAAAAACTAACAAACTGATATTTATAATAAAGAAAATAAAGAAGAAAAGCCAAAGCCATAAGTACAGGAAAAGAAAGAAAATATAAAGAACTACCTTCTGATTTTCTTTACAGTAGTTATAAGTATAGATGTAAATTAACCTCTTGCTCTATGGTTACAGCATAACTTTCATTTTTTCTATAAACTATTTTTTTTCCTAATCATCAAAACCATATATCATAAGTTCATTTTTTTATGTTTCATGCAAAAAGTCTATAAGAGGTTTCCAGCCAGTGTTAAACTTATATGGGCGGTATCTAAATTTGAAATATAAATAAATAACCAAATAAATAAATGAAGTCTTTTCTCTGATCAAATATGTCAGTTTGGTCATCTCAGCAAGTTCCATCATCACCACCACCCATTCCTCCATTGTGGGCAGTGTCACATCTTTCCACCTTTGTGCATATAATCTTGTTGCAGTTGTCATGTATAAAAACAAAGTTCCATGACTTTCTTCCAACTGTTTATTGATCAGTGCCAAAAGAAAAGCCTCTAGTTTCAATTGTATATTAGTCTTTAAAATCCTCTGAATTGATGCATCTAGTTGAGTCCAAAATTTTCTGGCTTTTTTGCATGTTCACTAAGCATGGTAAAATGTCCCCTCTTCTTGTTCACATTTCCAACATAAATTTGAAGAACCTTTAAGTTTGGCTGCTAACACTGACTCTGCTATGCTTTCTGTGAGATCAGAATCTCCACTGATGAGACAAAACAATATTTCCACATCTGCACCATTATCTCTTCCAAAATGTCAGTAACCATTCGAACTATGACTGCATTCAACTACAGCCCTGCCCTGAGTTGCTACTGACCCCACAGCAACAAAATCACACTCATTCTGATAAACAAAACCTAGACTTAAAGCCAGATGTTTTCTTTGTTTGCTGGTCTGATGCTGAAGCAAAGGAGAACCTGACAAAACGGCCAATTTCATTCCTACTCAGCTTCGTCTGGGCTACTGAGAAGCAGGTGTAAAGCCCTCAATCCAACATTTACCTAAAAAGAACTCGAGTTCTGGAGCAGCAGGATTTAGAGCTTGGACAGCTGGAAGAGTCAGCTTCCCAAGCCGTGGTTCGGAGCCTTCAAAGAGACAGGGTTCTCCCATTTCCTTTCTTAATAACTTCTGAAAATGGCTTGTAAATTGCTTTTTGGATACGAAGAATCTTCAAAAAGACAAGTTTTATTTCACTGGGAGATTCTTCAATCCTCAAAGAAAAGTTTTATGTAAGTTTAAGAACTTAAAGGTTTTTTTCCTTTTTTTGGTAATAAGCAGCAAAAGAGTGATTAGAACATCGATTTTGGAAAGCTATAAATGGACTATGGCTAGATTGACTGGAAATAAGATTCTGAAATTAACTATAAGAGTCCTTCCTGTGGTTTCTTTAAAATCCTACTACAAATATATGAAGATCTTGAAGTTAAGTGTAAGAAATCTTTCCACTGGAAAATGGTGTGGATTAGAGAAGAAAATGATAAGAGGAGACTTTGAAGGCTGGTTACTAGAGGCAACCAGAAAGAACTAAAGATTACAGTTAAAGGAGAAGACCCACTAATACAGAATGGAGAAAAGTATTTTAATTCTGGAAGATTTCAAGAATATTTGGCAACAATGTACTCAGAGCTTTCTCTTAAGATTGTCTGATACTATAAAAATGGGTTTTAAAGAGACTGGATACAACTGAGAATCAGTCTGTTTTGGATATGGATTTTAAAATGATGGAATACAAGAATGATATTGACAAAGATGCTATACAGGACTTACAAATGAAACTGGCTGATGTTGTAATAGCTAAAAGGGACATACAAACAATAAATCAGAAGAGTGACTTGGATGTGTGGATTTCAACATAAGAGTGACTTGGACAACTTTCCTATTTTGGACTTACAAAAGAGATGTGTTATACCTGTGAAGGAGTTTCTGAGAAAAAATAAAAGAGAATGAAAAGAAATCAGCTTTTGGGACATTACTTAAAAGGAATAAACATCAAGGCTTTTAAAAACAAAAAGGATTATAAACTCGGTTTGTTCGATCAAGGTTAAAATATATGATTTTTTTTTCTAATAGTTTTTGATGGGTTTTTCTTGGCCAGGACTGAATGATGAAGCCTTAAATATTTGCTATTATATAAGATATGGGGAGAAGTGATTTTTTGTTGTATGATAACAGAAAGTGATGGGTTATGATGTTAAAACTGAAAGAAAGTGTTAAAGTTGCAAAGGAATTTCTGAGAGGAGATTAAGAGTAAATGATAAAAAAATTAATTTGTGGGATATTATTTGAAGCGTTTAGAGATTAAGATTTTCTGGTAGCTTTTAATGGAATTTTTTAAAATTAAGTTTGAATAATGATCTTTTATAGGTTTGCTTATAGATATAATATGGGAAGAAGAGATTTTTGTTGTATTTTTAGAGAAAATGATAAGTTACTGTGTAAAGGAAAGGAAAGGAAATTGATTTACTTGTTTAATGTCATATATATTGTTATTACTGGTAACTCTTAATGGACTTTTGCTGATTAAGATTGAATTATGAGGTTTTATTATTTACTAATGGATAAAAAATGAGATATGGGATGAAGAGATCTTTGGCTGAAATGTTAGATAAGGTGATAAGTTACTGAAATTGTTTGTACTTGTCTTGATGATGGGAGAAGTCATTTCTTTGCATATTCTTTTTTCTTTATATAGTATTTCCTCCCCCTTCTTCTTTTCCCTATGTACTTTTTCTTCTTTTTTTCTTTTTATATTTTTCTTAGTTTGTATTAGTTTTTTATCTCTATATTTTTAAACTTTAATAAAAATTATTATATAAAAAAGGAGCTGGCTGAATAGTTGACAGACACAGGTTCTCCCCAATGGGAAAATAAAGCTACAATGGCTTAAAAACAACTTGAACTTTGCACTTCAGCTAGACATTCATTAACTCAGCTTCCCAGTGCTGTTGCAGGGGTGGGGACACAGTTCCAAAGGTTTCCAAACTGGCAAAAGTATCCATAACTAGGGATTGTTGAATTGGTCAGCCTTGGTTTCAAGTTTCTTATTTTTTCATCCTTTAGTTTGTCTCATGCCATTTTCAAATCAGATTTTTTTCATCATAAGTTTGGATGAAAATACATTTTTGTATATTTTCCTAATGCACATTTTGAGCATATTTATACAGTTGTGTTAGTTTTTTCTTAATATTATGCATTTTGTGTACTATTTGCACAAAGGTTTACATTTTTGGGTGGGAATTTCCTTGAATATACACTTTTTAAATTTTAAAACAGCACTGCCAAATCTAGAGGACTGTGTATATAAAAGTATAGTTCTTGTCTTGCTTACAAATTGCTCTGAGCAGTATGCAATAGGTATGTTTGTGTTAAAATATAAAGCAAACAAACTGAAGTGGGTAAGCATACAGACATCACATGCTGTGCTAACAACATTTTCCCAGAGCAAGAGCCAATTTGGAGATGAGGAATGATTCAGAGTTGTTAGCAGCCGAGGCTGAATCCAGATCCAGTAAAGAATCCCAAATGACTGATGTTGGAGAAGGGAGGAATGAGTCAAACCAATTTAACAGAGTAAAGAGATGGATAATGATTTCGCCCTGGATATATGAGCTTTATGTAGGATATGCTAAACTGCAGAGACACTGGAAGACAAAATTCCAGTAGAAGCGTACATAGTCAGTGACAGTGGGGAAACATTCTTATTAATCAGCATGATAAATCCACCTCAAACCATTATCAATATTTACATCCATCCATTATATACATATATTCCATTGGTGTAATACAACTACAAAACAGAAGAAAAATAAAATGTGTGAATGCAAATAATCACCACCACCACCACCACCATCCAGGGATGTGCAGAGTCCTTTGGGAAGTGGTACAGACCACCAACAAGGAGTGAAGACTAAAGGGAAAAATTATTGTACAAAAATATCACTTTATTTCTAACAAATTTGAGGATATCCACTTACCTTCTGAATATTTTCTCTCTCTATATATATACACATGCATCTTATTCTATGGGTTTAGCCTTATGTTATCCTATCCTTATAGGCTTTTGCAGATTTATCTATATCAGCTTCTGTTTCAATATGTATCTTATTCAATGCGTTTCTTACTATGTCTGCATCATAATCCCTATGAATTTTTATAAGCTCCTTTTCTCCTATTCCTCCCTCCCCTCCTTGTTTTTACAGGCAGACTTGATTATCCATAACAGCATGAATTATCAGGGCTTAACTAGCCCTGTCCTTCTCACTCTCCCAGCTGGGGAGTGCAGAGAATCTAAGGCCCTCTTTTCCTCAGCTGGAGTTTCAGCCGCCTTTAGCCACTCCAGCATTCCAGTCTTGGCTGCTTTGGTTGATGGCTGCATTTTCTAGGCTTTTAAACCAGGTATTGGTAGAATTTGATCTGAAATGCTGCAGGGACTCCAGTGACTTTGAGAGGAGTTCTGCGCTGCAACCTAAGCTGCTTGTCTCCCGTGTTGCTTCCAGTGGTTTCTTAAGCCACCTTCAGAAATTCCAGTCTAGATTCCAGTGGGTTGGTAAAGGGCTGGGCTGGTGCTCAGTCTGGACTATGGCCACCACAAAACTTGTTTTTTTCCTCTGCTTCTTGCCCTTCCAATCCATACAGAGAAGGCAAGCATCACGGCTGGCTTCTGCATGGACCGGTCTACCAGTGCCTGACTTTGAGGGATTGTTCCCTTCTCACTAGTTCTCATGCCTTTCTTTTGCTTTCCAAGATGTTTGCACACATGGATGCCTTCCCCTTTCCACATGATCTCCTTGGCATTAACAAAGACTCCTGTTTCCATCATTGCTCTGATAACAATAATCATAGCAACAGGCATCAGCTTGTTCTTTCACTCCTACATTCCTCTGCAGGCCCATGGGAACTTTGTAGCAAGGAACAACTAGTTTCATAGAAATAAAGTGGCAAAGTTCTTATTTTTTTCAACTTTAAAAAGTGGGGGGAGGATGTTTGGCAGTACTGTGGGCAAAGGGTAGGAAAACAAGGTGTCCACTGGGAGATGTGTTAAATGGATCACAAGCTTCCAGGGTTATGGATTGGCTACTGATTTAATGGGCCATTGTTGGCTCAATCTCAAAATTACAAAAATAAATAAATTAAATTAAATTAAAAAGGAACTGCTGACCAGCAGAGAACATAGGACCCCAGCAGCCCAGGATGAAATAGAAGCACAGAGCAACAACCAGCAGCTAGAGGGGAGGAGGCATGCCAGGGACTACATCCAACTGGACCTGAGGCTGCTAGTAGAATGGGACAAAGGAGAAGAGACCATCTGGTCTGAAAGTCTAAAAAGGCTTGGTTGGAAAACAGCAGTTTTGAATCAAAGTTGAAAAATACAGGTGCAGGATGCATTTGCAATGGGCTGGAAGTAGAAGGAGATCAATATTATTCATTCCTGCAGTTAGGAAGCATTAAGTGCCCTAACTGATGATGGCCCAAGCAGAAAGTGCAGATCTGCCCTCAATCTGGCTGGAGTGGAAAATATGTTACTAGCACTGGCTGGCTGTTGGTTGTTTGCTCTTCTGTAGAATTGGCATGGCTGCCAGGCTCTGCCCCTCTGCTCATTGTTCAGCTGCTTGCACTTCTGAGCCAGTAGGCACATCTTCCATGGCTCCAGTTGCCCACCCCCTGCTGGCTCATCCCATGCACCCACCAAGCTGGCTTTGTCTTGGGCATATTTTGCTTTGCTCAGCTCCCACCTGCAGCGTTTGCCTGCAGTGTTATCCTTTTGCTTCTGTACAGCACACATAGAAAAATGCAACATCTCCACATCCAAGTCCAGAAAGCTGCACCTTTGGCAGCTGGGGCACAGCTGGTCCAGCCAATTCAGCTGCCTCAAAGTCCCAAAAGGAAAGAAATGGGAAAGGGAAGGAAGGGATTTTGCTGACTGCCATCAGGTTCTCTTTCTAGAGGACATAAGAAACAATACATCAAACAGACAAACCCGTAAATAAAATACAACAATAATTATGACTTTGTGCAAATGATTGAAATTCAGCATTTGAACAACAAATTGAATCTTAACCATATGGAAGCATATCATCCAATCTTTCCTTTGTGCTGATAAAGAACCAGTTTGAAGAAGTTGAGTCATTTCATTGAGCCAATCAATGAATAATGAACCAATGAACAGATTGAGCCAATGTGAATAATTCATACCTATTTTAGTAGTTTTTAAGGAAGTCAGTCAAACTTAATTTTTGATTTTGCCTTTAAAAAACATTGTCTAATACAGTCAAAACTGTGGGTGTTTCTGAATCTGCCAGTGCAAATGGCCTAATGTATCAGGTCCCAAACACATGTTTTATCAGAACATACTGTCATTTAGCTGTTTTTGGCAAATGATGTTCTTTGTTTTAACTTCTAACGCTTTGAAAATATCATTAACAATTTCTGTTCAAAAGTTAGCATCTGATGTTTCAATTCCCATAAAACAAGTATTAGCTCAAGGAATCAGACTCTGTCTCTTTTCCCAGAAAGTCTTTGGTCTGATCCTCCTGCAGCTAATACTCCATTCCTGTTACATCCAAGAAAACAGAAAAATGGCATCCTTGCAGCTAGACCTGGGCATGAAACCTAACATTGTACATATCTAGAAGGCCATCTTATCTTTCTGACCACTTTGTACTATGGCAAGATTTTGGCAAAACAAAACAAAAAACCAGAACAGAAATGAGAAGATTAGTTTTGACCTCCACATTGATATTCAGCCATTCTGCTTACAGTAATTTTTGAAACTAAAACTTCTATGGACTCATTGGATTCAGCATTCTAAAGCCTATTATTTTTGTTCATGTCAAGGCAGGAGCAGGGAGTACAATTGATTGTATGCTATCCAGAGTTGCTATGAGTTGGATGGTCTATAAATTTTATTTAAAAGTAAGCAAGCACGCAAACAAGTAACTAAATTCATATAAATTATGAACCCCTCTCCCAACAAACCAGACTTTAACACAGTATAAAAGTTTTCCAATTCAAAATGTATGTTGGAGAATTTTCACAAGCAACTGACATAGAAACCCTTCTTTTGAATTTACTTTTAATGTTCTTGTGATATTAGGTTGTATCCAGCTTTTCAATGAGGAAGGGGCATGTAGCTTTTTTGGTTAATTTGTTCAGAACTGCATTTAAAAGAAATCTAAAGCTGATTTCAAACCTGAACAAACAAAAGTGTAGAAAAGATGAAATCATATACTTAGAAACAAATGATCTGATGTTTTGCAACAAAATGGTACAAAATACAATTCAGAATACAGACATAGTTGTATTTGTTCATTGTTATAAATGTCTTCTAGGAGACAGAGAAGGGTAATCCATCTGCACAATTCTTCCTTGTGTTGATCTAGAGCCTATATTTCAAAGAGAAGGAGCTGATGCAATCATTTCTTTTCCTTTGCTGCTTCTAACCTTATTAAGCAGGCTGAGAAAGGGAAATATATATATATAGTTAGATAAACAGACAGACAGAAAGCTGTGCAATGCTTTGGATTTGTTTGGAATAGTTTTTTTAGAATGGCACACTACTGCAGCAGCTGCACAGTCCTGGAAACAGTGCAGCTGCTTTAGTGAGTCATAGACAGATACTGTGCTTGTGCTCCTGCAGGTTCCAAAGCATCTCTTCCAAATCAATCTGAAGCCCTAATATTTATACAGGCAGTCCTCGTTTAATGACCACTATTGGGACTGGAAACTCGGTCATTAAGTAAAGTGGTTGCTAAGTGAAATTGCAACTGTGCTTATGATCTTACTTCAGTTTTTCTTTGCTTTACAGATCTACGAAGGTCATAAATGGGAGGATTGGTCGTAAAGTTACTTTTTCATAACTGTGAACAGTTACTAAGCAAGATGAGGACTACCTGCTAACTATTTATAATATATTTTAGATATCATAGTGGAAACAAACTAAGAACCAAGACTGTAAAGTAGAAATGTAAGTACAGAGTTGAACAAGAGCTACTTGAAAGCAGAATGCATATAGTGACTTCCCTAACATGGGATTCATTCAAGTGTAATTGTACTCACCGTGAGAAATGGATAGCATAAGAGTATCTGGTACCTAGCCTACTTCTAATGAGCATAGGTAATCTTCAGTTTCTTCCCTCCTTTTGCACTGCAATGAAAACTTTTACAATAGGCCATATACAGGGATACTTGTGTGTATGCAGTATATGACATCTTTTGTGTCCCCAGGATGGTTACCAACATGTGGCAGTATGATTTCCCAGAGAACATGGGCAGAAAAACAAATAAGATGAACTTTGGATAGAATCAGTAGAAGTAATGAATTACAGCAACCTGTCATATCTATCAAAAGTTTAGAAACATTGTGGTAGGGTGAATCCTTATATCATTGCCATGCCTCCTACAACCCTTGGTCATTTATAAAATAGGACTCTTGCCACAAAAATGGTTTCCCATTTTTGCTTTAGAAGGAGGCTTTAAAAGTAGTGGGGAAGGGAGAACACTTGAAAAGCCCTGGCATGTAATGCAGATGGGTAGTAGGCCTAAGATAACTTGGTTATATTCTAGCTGGTGAAATGTACAAATATCTAGCAAAACTGCATTCACATCCTAGGACCAGATTATTATAGTACTCTTGTATATTTCAATCTTCCATATTGAAGTACATACAAATAGAGGTGTCCATAAGCAAACTACAATGACATCATAAAAAGGAAACTTGTGGGCTGAGGTTATCATATATGACGCAGTTAAGTGTTCACGTCCTGAGGATAATATGCAAGTCAAGACATTTGCATGACATCTTCATGCCCATTTTGTCATTTCCACCTCTTGCCCCAGCCTCCCCTCAGATGCTCATCCATACTGACCTTTCTCCACTCATTGTTTCAGTAATGTTTCTGTAGTTTGAGGGCTACACCAATGTTCACTTTGTAAAAGCTCACTGAGTTCTGTCTCTCGTTTCTGTAATGATGTTTTAACCTGTTCCAGACTGGTTTTAACTTCCATCAGAAGTTTCTTTTCTGGTAAATAATCTTGCACTTCTTCTATATCCACCTGAGTGATACCAACAAGTCTTGATAGATTGTCTCAAACAATGGTAAGATAACTGCCCAGATTAGCAAGACAGGTTAAAATGTATTAGCCTTGTATGTAAATCTATTAAAAACAACAATGTATTTTTAAAATATTTGATTAAAAATGTTACAAAAGAGCAAGGCTTAAAAGTTAAGCTAATAGTGCCCAGTGCTGCTCCTACATGAATATGAAATTATTGTTTCTTAGAGTTTGGTTGCTTTTCTAAAATGTCATAAAGCCTAGTGCAACAAATTGACAGCCATTGTGAAATTCAGATGTTTTCCTGAAATAAAATCTCTGTTCAAGAGAGATCACATTTCCTACTAAATGCAGAAATGTAAGCCTAGCTGGTAGGACCATGTCAATCTGAAGCATGCTCTAGAATGTACCAGTGTGAATGTGTTAGGATTTTCTCATGGGAAGGATTCATCTCGTTACCTGAAAAACAATATTGTTATGGCTAAGTAAAGCATGTGACTTTGTTTAGTTTTGTAGTTTGCACGTATACTGCTATTTACTGCCACCTATTGGTGTGTGTATGCTAGTTACCCAGTGGGGGGGTACGTATTGGCAATGTAATGGGAGGATTATATGCCAAGCCTCTCAGTAGAGTTTTAGCCACCATGTAGTCAGTTTTTATGGGTTATGTAGTTGTAACTAAATATATTTTCTGGCTGGATTTCTTTGGAGAACAAGATATGGACATTGCATTTTGTAAATCTCTCATGCTAACGTGTATTTTTCCTGGGCAACCTATATATTTTCTGGCTGGATTTCTTTGGAGAACAAGATATGGACATTGCATTTTGTAAATCTCTCATGCTAACGTGTATTTTTCCTGGGCAACCTATATATTTTCTGGCTGGATTTCTTTGGAGAACAAGATATGGACATTGCATTTTGTAAATCTCTCATGCTAACGTGTATTTTTCCTGGGCAACCTTCCTGGAAGTATTGTTGCACCCTGCACAACAGGAGTATTGCTGCACTCTGCTCAACAGAATGTCACTGACATTTCTTGATAAAATCTCCTGCAACATTACTGATTATACATGGCACATGTCTCAGATACTATTCTATGCTATGTTTTAACACCTATGGTTTAGCCTATAAAAAAGGAATTCGTCCTTTTTTCTTTTTAATACCTTAAGATAAAATCTGGAGAAACATCTTGTTGGTTTCACACTTGGTACTAAGCCTTAGATCAAATGCTACCCATCGCCAAAAGTTTCATGTGATAGAGTAGCACTAATACTTTTCCTGCTAAAAGATCACAAAGGATTCAGCTGGTCCTCAGGCTGTCCCAATCACATCTTGTTTTTGTTTTTAAAGAAAAAAAAAGAGAGAGAATTGTGCTCATAGGAGACTGGTTCTTTATTTGCTGTGTTCATATGATATATTACTTTAGGTGGGCTGTGTGGTATCAATGCCACTGTGCCACACAAAGCATATGACCTGATCAGAATGTTTTTGGGTTTTTTTGCTTTAAAACTTCATTAATGCTTGCTATCGATATGAATTGCCAAGAAATTTCACTTTACCTTGTTGGGGGACAGTTTTGGCTATGGTACAAATGTATGTAAGCTTAGGATTTTCTGACAATTGCTGGCAATTTCATTTTCTCCTAATTTTTCATTCTTACTACGTTGAATTTGGCTTAATTCATTTTCACCTGAGTTTTTTAAAGTACTTTACATGATAGCATGTATGCAAAGCGGTCATGTATGCTTGCAGGAATCTGTGTAATAAATTTACCTAACGATGATGCATTTATTATTCATTATTTAACTATACAGAAATTTTTGTGTGCACTTCCTCCTAATATATATTTTACATATTTTATACAAACTGAACTATAAAATTTAGAGAAGTGAACATATTAAAATGTAACATTGTCTTTAGTTCAGTTATTAGTTTGCAAATGCAAAATTAAGTAGTTTTACATAGCATGTGAAATGGACAGTATAGGGATCCTCCTCATCTCTATAAGTTGCATATTAACTGGTAGCAGTAGCAGAAGCAGTGTACATCTATTTCCATTCCATATTTGTAGTCAAATGTTGACTACCAAATGCACAAAAAATCTGTGTTTGAATACTGAGTATTGCTACTGAATACTGCTCTCCCCCCTCACACTTTCCCAGGTTTATGTGATGCCAGCTGCAAAGCACCACTGATGTGCTACAGATTGGGAAAAAAGTCCAGGTGTTGGCCTCTACTGAAAGATGAAGATGAGGCTTACCACAAAGGAACCTTGCCCATCCTGTGTTATGGTGTCAAACTTAATTTTTGTTGTATTCTTCTCTGTTTCTCTATTTTCAGTTACCTGAAAGAAACATACATACATACATATGTACATACATTGCTATTAGTAGTATTTTCATTTCTATAATAACAGCTGTTGGCTACAGAATAGGGAATTTTGAAAGCAACAAATTACTCATCAAATTATCACTAGTGCTTATCTCTAAGTCACCTTAGTCACAAAAAATCATGTGTTAGCTGAGCAAAGCGGGAAGATGAATCCGTCAAAATTTTCAGGCCAATTTTTCAAAAACTAATTAAAGCACTTAAAAATATAAAGTAAAACAAAACAAAACAAAAACCCAGAACCTAATAACATTCCAAAATGACTGTCCCAGACAGTCTAACTCAAAATGTTTAAGACTGTTCCAAGTAAGGCAGAAAGAACTAGAAAATACAATACTGTTCTTTCTACCAGTTGAATTATTCTTACTCATTATTTATAACTAACTTAATATGACTACTTATTCTTCGTCTGAAGTAAAATATTTATTTCATCTGATAGTAGTGCTTTTTGCTGACCACAGTGTAAGTTCTTCTGGATATTTACCATTTTCTGCACATTTTCAAGGTCCAGTCTACTTCTACGAAGTTCCTTGATAGCTGAAAAGCACAAGAAAATAAGAGAGAAATGTATTAAGAACAGATTGCTTAAAACAAGCATGCTTGCTGCAAGTACTATCAATGAGTGTTTTAATTTCTGAGTCACCTTTAAGAACAAAATCCCAACAATTTCCAGAAAATAGAGTAGTCTGATGTGTATGTGTGTCTGTGTGTATATGTGTCTGTGTGTGTGTATGTATATTTATATGTATCTATATATGTGTAAGTGTTGTAAGTGGATTTTACTCGGTTATCTGGAAGCATAACATTGTATATGTGTGTGTGTGTGTACATACATACATACATATAGTATATACATATGCATATACTGTATATATATATGTATGTATGTATGTATGTATGTATGTATACACACACACACACACAATGTTATGCTTCCAGATAACCGAGTAAAATCCGCTTACAACACTTCTAGCTCAGACTTTTAATGATCTACCTTTCATCCATGCATCACTCACAGATTTTCCTGAATCTGTCTCTATGCTTCCACCAATCTTGATGGCCTCTGATTCCTGTAGCTTGCAGTTCAGCCTAAGAAACGTTGTCCTAACTATAGAAAGATTGAAGCAGGAGCATCTTCTAGGTATGGTTTAGACCAGTCTTTTCCAACATGGTGACAAATGTAGCCCAACACATCCCAGGATGAGGTGGGGGCACCAAGTGGTACTGCTAGAGGGAAAAATTGGCTGATGCTTTATTTGCTTGTTTGGTAAAGTGAAGAGTGCCAGTGAAGAGTGCTTCTTTTTCGGTTTGAATAATTCCTTAGAACTGCTTAGTTACATCCTGTATCATCTACTGAAGTAATTCTGTTGAGTGGAAAGTGACAGATTGTTTTTCTGCAACACTACAGCATTATAGCTTTACTGCTGTTTCATATTTGGAGCAGAGGCCCCTCCATCACAGTTATCTGTCTACTGGAGTCTCTTGAAATATTGCTTCAGCACTGTAATGTTTAAATGGGAGGAATTATTAAATATATTGTAAACAGTGATGTTAACTTTATTTAATTGATCTAATTTAATTTTAATTAAATCAAATTTAATTTCTGTCCTGGCTCTATCTGCTTTTAGTCTCCCAGTTAGCTATTCCCAAGGCTGAATGCAACCTTGGTGAAATAGATGATGAATCTCTGACTTTGGGTTTCTCAAACCAGGTAACATCTTGGAGGTAGCATAATTCTTGGGAAATCTCTTCAGCTCTCTTTTTCTATAATATCAGGTTTTAGAAGCTCATAGGGTAATACACTAAGGAGTAAAATACTTTAATATAAGGATACAAATGCTACACAAAGGAGGAATAAAGAAAGGCATAATGGCTGCAATGTCTATAAAAACAAGGGTTTGGGGGCAAAACACTTACTTAAAGTATGCTGGGTATACAGACAGTGTAGCTTCTGAACAATGCTTTTTAGGAGCCAAGACTGCAAAAAATGATAAAAGAGAAACCAGACATAATTTTCTTCCATTCTTTCATAAACCAATAAAAGAAGTGACAGATCACACATACTGTAATTTAACTGCTAAAATGCATTCTGGGCCTGTAGGATGCAGTAAGTGTAATATAAATCCTAAAATATAAATATAAATGTAAAAAACACAGAGGACAAAAGTGGTGTAAGATCTAATGCCAGTGAGAAGCCTGTTAAAATAGACCACATGAGCACACAAGGAAGGAGAAAATATAATTTTAGTTAAAAAAAAAATGGTGTGCTTACAAGAGGGTTTAACAAACCTAATTTTGGCCTACCTTTTCTTTCCCTGCTTTTTCATCCTGCACTTGGATCTGATTCATGAGCTCCGCTTTTTCTTGTCTCAGTTTCTTGTTTTCTTCTTCCAGTCTCTGGGTGTGTAATAAATGATACAATGGAAATGAGGTCCTGCTGGCTTCTGGTTGATCCTTGAGTGACAATAATTGTATTTCTGTTTCATTGTCACTGCATTTATCAATAATTGCAATTCTTTTTAAAACTTTAATAGATTTCAAAGAGACACCATAGGTTGTAATAAGATATCTTCTCCCAACTAATCAAGACCTTATCCTGTCTTCAGTCATGAAAGATGATTCACTATTATGTATTCTACATTTTGCACATTAGGAAAATGGATTCAGTCATCCCACCTAGCTTCAGCAGTTATCAAGGTAACACTGGTAGACAGTTACATTGTAAGGGATTGGTATTTCTGGATCTACGGCTGTGGATTTGTAATGAGGTCAGCTCTTGTGTGGATACTCTACCCCATAAAAACTTGAAAATATCCAGTGCAAAGCTAGACAACATTTTATTTCCTTAACAAGGAGACTTTGAAGAAATAAAGAGCGAAGGTACAGCAGTTGCAGATAACAGCACCTCCAATCATTAAGAATGCAGGAAAAAACAAGAAGCAATTCATAAATCACACATGCGATATTTATGTATTTGTCTACCTTTCATTTAAAATGACTGCATTTTGCTTCTTACCTTTCTTGTATCTTGCCAGCATTGCTTTTCTTTTCCTACCATTTCTTGATAAGCCTCCAGATAAGCGCTCAGGTGCTTTATTTTGTCACTGTATTGGTTTTTCAGTGCCATTATGGCTTGTTCCTATCAACAGATTATGTGAAGAAAATAATCTTTAATGGCAGCTACTAGGAAAAAAATCCTCTGAACCTAAATATTTGGATTATGCTTCTTTCTTTGAAATATACACTTGATACCCATCTGACTTTCAACAGTAGTTTCACCCAGTTGGGATACACCAGAAAATCAGGGACTCATAACCCTGTCCTTTAGGTAACTGCCTATATTATCAAAAGATTTTGACAACCATCACAGAAGCCAGGGATGGGCAAACCAATTACATAAACCAATAAAATGGCCCAAGTGACATGAGATTGCTAATCTCATGAGGTGTTAGTGTTTCTGCCTGCAAGGATTTTGACATAGGAAAGTGTTTTACTTGGAAGCCTACAAATGCTTGGGTTTGTTGACATAGTACCCCTGAGGAATTAATCTAGCTGAAAATGCACTGGGCCTTCAAACAAAGACTGGATGCTTTCTTCCACACTGTTTTTCCTGTTGTTATTCTTCCCCATTTGGAAGAGAATGGCAGCCAGCAGAAAGAATAGTAGAGGGCATTTGGAGAAAGTTGTATTATGGGATTGTTTTTTTTTTTTTAACTTTAGGCAGTGAGAAAATGGAAAACCTCAAAAAATTCTTTCGGGAAAAAAAAAAAAAACTTAACCCTGGTCAAAACCAAGCTACTATACTGGAAGAATATTCTTGGTCCAAATCAGTACTGTCTTTAAATCCTAAATACTTTAAATAAAGGCTACCATCTTATCTCAAACATTCTTCAGGATTACAGATTCCTATTCCAGTTGTCTTCCATACATAGAGTGAGTTGGGCATCTCATCCTTTGTCTTGGGTAGTAAAACATCTTATTTGCACTTATATGTAACCACCCACCCAGAGAACTGGGATTTCTTTTACAGGTAGTCCCTGGGTTAAGAACGCCTGCTTTAAGGATGACCCATCGTTAAGAAGAGAGCCTGTTGTAGCAAATTTGAGTTAAATACACAATGATTCGAGTTAAATACACAATGGTTCTAGTTCATTACACAATACTACTTATACAGTATTATACAATAATATTGTTCTGGCTTACATACAAAAAGGATAGATCTTTGCAACGGAACTTGTTCTTAAACCGGGGGATACATGTATTTCATAGCTGAGAGTGGTAATGTATGTTTTGCAATCCTGATTATTTGCATCTTCCTAACAAAGAACCTAAGGCCGGGCAAGTGATGACAGGAGCGAAAATAGGCTGCAATAACTGGACTAACATAGGCATCTTTGGGCCCAACAAGGCTGACATTTCTTGTCAGACATTCCTTTCAGTTTATAATCAGAGACTGGTGCGTAGCCATGGACACCCATTTTATTATTTTTATTAAAAAATATATCATTTCCCCACAATAAAATGGTTCTCATTACCAAGTACATGGCCATCTAAGGACATCAAAAAATACCTATCCACCTCCAGCCCTGTACATGATGTAAAATTACATAGTTGCATCATATACCCTGATCTCACTCTCTGGCACTCAATATGGAGCAGGAAACCAGAAGTCTTCTGTATATGCCAAGATGTGATGGAATGGAATTATGAAGGCCAAGCTCAGGGAGATAAACATTTTCTTAGCTCACCAGAACCGCGTGAGAGGAACAAGAGGATGAGACTGGCACCTCCCTAAGGAATTCACACTGTTATGGCTGGGGGGCTTTTGGGACTGGGGGTTTTGTCTGGGGAGATTTTTTCTAGAGGTTGGAGCTTATAAAAATAAGTGGACTGAATTTGCATTGGTTTTT